AGCATCAAAAGAGCACGAAAATCGTCCCCCGGCTATTTTCTTACTAGTCTCGAATACGCCTCCTGTAGAGCTCGGTGGTAATTCATAGGAGCGTCCATACCATCTTGTCGGCTCTTGCGAATCGACGCAAATCGATGCTAAACCGACGCTACACCGACGCCTATCGACGCTAACCGACGCTACATCTGCGCTACCTCATCGACTCCAGACGCTAATCGACGGCAGTCGACACGGAATCAAAAAGGTACACCAGGCTCACACGAGTTGCCACCGAAGAAGAGTAGGTCGGGCATGTCCCCCTACAGGCAGATTTAACAATAGAAAATCGTCCCCACCCTATTTGTGTTCTACTATGTTTGAATATTCCTCCTGTCGAGGAACATTCCCAACTGAAGAGTAAAGGGACATGCCCGACTTCATCCAGATAGTTTCCTCGACCCCTCCTGCGGTCCATCCTGAGGGGCACCTCCCGAGGCAGATCCACAGCCGTGACGACGGGCAGCCCCCAGGAGACACGAGCAAGACGACGAGAAAAACCCAGGAGGAGGAAGAGGAGGAGGAGGAGGAGGATGATGATGAGGAGGAGGAGGAAGAGGAGGACGAGGAGAAGGACAGGGGGAGGGGGAGGGGGGGGGAGGAGGAGGAGAAGGAGGAGGAGGAGGAGGAGGAGGAGGAGGAGGAGGAGGAGGAGGAGGAGGAGGAGGAGGAGGAGGAGGAGGAGAGGAGGAGGAGGAGGAGGAAGAGGAGGGAGGACGGAGGAGGAGGAAGAAGAGAAGGACGAGGAGGAGGGGGGGGAGGAGGAGGAGGAAGAGGAGGAGGAGGAGGAGGAGGAGGGGGAGGAGGAAACGGAGGAGGAGAAGCCCCAGCATGCCGCCGCTGCCTCGACAGCACAACAACTTCCCCCGAGCGACGCGCCTGGCCGCCCACGGCTCCGTCACGGCCCTCGCTCATTGCTTGCTGACCTCCTCGAAGCTCTCGCCGACGTCCGGGATGTCCTCGTCGTCGCCGGCGGCCTTGGCGCCCCCTGTGGCCCCCGCTGCGGCGTAGCCCTCCGCGATGCGCTTAAGGTTCGCCAGGTTGTCGGGGCCGAGCTGGTTGATGATGCCGGGCAGGAGCTCCTCGAGGCGCTTGTTCTCCGCGTGTCCGGCGACGACGTAGGTGTTGGCCTGGACGGAGGCCTGCACCCTCGGGGCGGAGAAGTGGAGCACGGAGCCGTCCTCGCGGAACATGTTGACCTCCTCGATGCCCGGGATGCTGTTCACCCCCAGGCGCTTGAGCTGAGCCTGCAGCTGCTTGTCGTCCGCGCCGTGGGACTGGTGCTTCGTCAGCTTCGTCCGCCGGGCCGTGCCCTTGCCGCCCGTGCGGCTGTTGTCCCCGAGCCGCGCCCGGAGCTTGTCGCGCGCCGCCTGCACGTCCGCGGAGGGGCTGTCCTGCACAACCTTGGGCGGCATCGTCGCGGCGGCCTCCCCTGCTGCGAGGCACGAGGCCGGGAGCAGACGCGCGGCTCCAGCCCTTGAGCCAAAACGGCTGCGGCAGAGGTAGAGGCCTCCTGGAGGGGGTCGGAGGATCTCGCCGCATCGCCGACACATTGGCGATGCATCGCCGTTGCGTTGGCCTTGCACTGGCGACGTCGGCGATGCACCAGCGACGGCGGCCTGGAGAAAATTGGGCCCCACATCGAGCCGCATCGCTGATGCATCGCCGATGCATCGGCGATGCGGCGCGATCCTCCGACCCCACCTACTCCGACCCCACCTAGGAGGCCTAGAAGAGGTGGATAGGGGACCACATGCGAACCCTACCCCCACCTCCCACGATTTCTGAGGGGAGGGTGGGGTTCACTTCGCTCGGGAGCTCCCCAACGAAGTGAACCCCGCCCTCCCCCTCAGAAATCGTGGGGGGTGGGGGTAGGGTTCGCATCAAGCTAACCAGCTCGAGCGAGTCAAGCATGGCATGCCCATTCCCACCCGCCCTCCCACAACATAAGAAACAGTGATGGCACAACTGGGAGTTGCGCGGGCATTTCAGTGCGAGTGGAGGATTTCCCAGGACACCGCATTGACGTCCGCGCGGGATGTGCGCCGCGTCCCATTCCCACCACGAATTTCGCAACGTCGACGACAAGACTGGCCATGTTGAAAGGAACAACGGACACGTTCCGCCCTCACACAACATAAGAAACAATGCTGGCGCAACTCGGTGCTGGCGCGTAGTGGCAGCAGCAGCAGCAGCAGCAGCAGCAGCAGCAGCAGCAGTAGTAGTAGTAGTAGTAGTAGTAGTAGTAGTAGTAGTAGTGATAGTAGTAGTAGTAGTAGTAGTAGTAGTAGTAGTAGTAGTAGTAGTAGTAGTAGTAGTAGTAGTAGTAGTAGTAGTAGTAGTAGTAGTAGTAGTAGTAGTAGTAGTAGTAGTAGTAGTAGTAGTAGTAGTAGTAGTAGTAGTAGTAGTAGTAGTAGTAGTAGTAGTAGTAGTAGTAGTACGTAGTCGTAGTAGTAGTAGTAGTAGTAGTAGTAGTAGTAGTAGTAGTAGTAGTAGTAGTAGTAGTAGTAGTAGTAGTAGTAGTAGTAGTAGTAGTAGTAGTAGTAGTAGTAGTAGTAGTAGTAGTAGTAGTAGTAGTAGTAGTAGTAGTAGTAGTAGTAGTAGTAGTAGTAGTAGTAGTAGTAGTAGTAGTGTAGTAGTAGTAGTAGTAGTAGTAGTAGTAGTAGTAGTAGTAGTAGTAGTAGTAGTAGTAGTAGTAGTAGTAGTAGTAGTAGTAGTAGTAGTAGTAGTAGCCCTGAGTCGCCGAAAGATCGTTCCAAGACGCCCAAGATGGCCTCCAGACGGCCGTAGCGCCAAGAAACCGCGGGGAGACTCAGGAGGCCCTCCAAGAGCCTGAACAAGCAAAAACCTCCCAGGCATTCGTCACCCCAGGGCCTCCTGGAACGCCCCGGCGCCCAACGAATTGGCGAGCTAAAAACGTGCGCCGAGCCAAAGCGGGAACGCAACTTTGAGAACATTTCGCTCGGCGCCCAAGCGAGAAGGTCATTTCATTCATTTCGAGCGGGGGGGGGATGTGCCGCGCCCAATTCTTGCCATGCACTTTGCGGGGTGGACGACAAGAGCAGCTATGTGGGCAAGCAAAAATCAGCATGGCATTGCTTCTGACAAGTAAGGTGGCCCCTCCCGCCTTGGGGTTGCCCCAGAAGTCCGCGCGCGATGTGCGCCGCGCCCCATTCCTGCTACGCATTTCGCATCGTCGACGACAAGACAGGCCATGATGAAAGGAAAAACGGCAACTCTGTATTGTTTTTTACAGTCAGGATGGGAGGGCCCGCAGCCCGCATGGACGTCCGCGCGCGATGCGCGCCGCGTCCCATTCCTGCCACGTATTTCGCACCGTCGGCGACAAGGCAGGCCATGCTGAGAGGAAAAAACGGAGACTTTGTATTGATTTTTTCCAGTCAGGATGGGCGGGCCCGGATTGACGGCCGCGCGCGATGTGCGCCGCGTCCCATAAGTGCGCCGCGTCCCACTGCTGCCACATATTTCGCACCGTCGGCGACAAGGCAGGCCATGCTGAGATGAAAAAACGAAGACTTTGTATTGATTGTTTATAATCAGGAAGGCCGGGCCCAGATTGACTGCCGCGCGCGATGTGCGCCGCGTCCCATTCCTGCCACGCTTTTCGCATCGTCGACGACAAGAAAGACGATGTTGAGAAGAAAAACGGCCACTTCGTATTGATTTTTTACAGTCCAGATGGGAGGTCCCGGATTGGGTCGCTATCGGCCGGAATACGACGTAGGTGGGGGTATATTCTAATAAAGAAAAAAGGATGTGGTCCCCTGGTGACGGAAGCGGGCGGCGGGCCGGGACAGAAAACCCCCCCCTCCCGACAGCGACGCTCGGGAACGCTTCCCCCGCGGCTTTCCCTCGCGACGCTCCGGAACGAAGGGTCCGGCGCTTGTCCACCGAGGCACTGCGTCTGCACGCAGTTGTTCTTGCATGTGTTTCAGGTATGTCTCCCGCATGCTATTTTCTGCCGATGCGCCGTCCGGGCGCGGCTCCTGCCTGCCTGCCTGCCTCCCGCCAGCGGGACCACGAATGCCGACACCGCCATACTCCCGGGAGGTCTCTCTCTCCCAGGGGCGCGTCCCGGCCGGGGCTTCGAGGCGACTCCCGCAGTGGCGACGAGGGAAGGGCAGCGGTATCGGTGTATGTTCCTCCTCGGACCGCTGTGTCGCATCCCCACGGGGACCTCGTCTGTCCAATCTCGCCGCTATCGGCGTCGGATGTGCGCGCACCGGGTCCACGCCGAACTGATCGAATCCGCCTCGCCTCCGTGCCAATTCCACGTCGGACCTGCGTCGAGCCGCTTCGAACATACAGTGAACCCGTACAGTAAGGGTGCGCGATGAGGATGCGAGGGCCTTGGAGGGCCATTTCGGGGCTTTCCGAGAGGTGCGCGGCCGACGAACGTGGCCAAGGCTGGACCGAGGAGGCAAGGACGCAAGGGTACCCTTGGGAAGGCTGCCCATCCTTGCTGTGCGGGTTCACTGCACGCCGGGCACCGGGAGGAGCACAGCCACTCACAGGACAAACGAGGCCCCCCGACGCTGCCACCCGGCCACGTCCCACCGCATCGCGAGCCGACTCCCTCGGGCGGCTCCGCCGCCCGGCCGACCCGCACCGGTTCGCCGCCGCGCACCCGGGATCCGCCAGGGTCGAAATCGGGAGGTCGGACTGGATCGGAGCGTGCGTTGGATCGGGCCGTCTTCCCAAGGGCTCGATATATATATATATATATATATATATATATATATATATATTATATATATAATTAATTATATATGTATCGGATCGACTCGGCCGCGCCGGTGTACGTACACGACGGCGCCGCGCGAGCGCTGCTGCGGCTCGGATCGTCGGGGCACCGGGATCGAGTCGACTCGAGCGGGCCAGCATCGACATCGAATCGGAGCGATCGGATCGAAGTGAGCCCCAGAACCAAGGCCCGTCGCCGCCTCGGGCTCGTGCGAGAGCTCCGACACGTTGTCGTCGCTGTCCTCGCGCCGCGCACGGGAAGTTGAGCAGGGACCGACCGTCCCGGCATTCCTATAGTCATACCACGAAATCTTCTTAGAATCCAACATGTTCTAATCACAAAAACATCGTTCTTAGAACATAAACCCGATGTGTCCAAACAAGACAGACTCCGCCCGAAATGTTCTAAGAACATTTCGTTGGAGCCACAAAAGGTTCTTAGAACATTGTTTGATAGGGCTATAGGCGAGCTAGGACGCTCCGCCACTGCTTGAGGAAGGCAAGCGGGCGCGGGCGGGGCCGCGCACAGCGGCAGGCAGCACCCCGCGGCGAGGCGGCCGCCGGCCTGGCGCCGCGCGCCCGCAGTGGCGGGCGGGCGGGAGACGCCCCCTCGCGGCGTGAAAGAATCGATGCGGAGCGTAAGAGGCCTCCCACACGGGGTCCGAGCAGGTGGGGGCCGGATGATCGCGCTAAATCGGCGATGCAGCGGCGACGTCGGCGGTGCTTCGCCGACGTCTGCGTGAGAAGCTTGGGTTCCGAATCGAGCCGCGTCGACGAAGCATTGGCGATGCGGCTCAATCTTCTGACCCCACCTATCCTGACCTCATCTGGGAGGCCCGAGAACATCTTTGGTCATGTCCAGCCCCAGGGGACCCTCGCAGGGCCGATCAGCAAAGCAGCTCGGGAGGAGAAAACGGTCCGCGGGAAAGGGTCCAGACCTCACGAGGGTCCACTCCGTGAAAAAATCACAGCGTCAGGGGTCTGGAGATGGGAGCGGGGGCACGGTCGACACGGCTGGCTGGGCGACGAAGTCCGATTGCATGCTGGCGGGCTGCGAGACGTGTCCTGGCGGGCGCAGTGCGTCAGAGGCGCCGCTGAGGCGAAGAGGGAACTCTGCCTGGGCAGCCTGGGATGGGAAAGCGTTTGGTGTACGTTCCATGGGAGCCTGCGTGGCTGGCCATTGGCGCTGTCCGATTGAGGCCTGGCTTGGATAAGATCTGGGGCACATTTGGGGCTGGACGTGAACCCGCTCTGGACCAGATTCGGCCCTTCACGAAGAGGAGACGAGAAGAACGAGGAGGGGAGAAAGAACAGGATCGGCGAGGAGGAGCATGAGGAAGGGCCAGAGGCGGTCCAAATGCGGTCGAAATGCAAGAAAAGCTGGTTCCCATGTCGCCGCCCAAGCTCCCGTGAACGAGCATCTAAGAAGCGGGTTCGCGAACACCCCAACAAGTCACGCCCAGGGAAGGAGAGCATGACGGGTCCCACATAATCAAACCTGGAAGGCTGGTGCTGGGGACACACACACGCACACACATAAATAGACAAATCCAAGGATTCCCCATACGTTTCTCATAGTTTCTGTGTTTTCGTCTTCCCCTCTACTTCCAATATTTTCCCATATAACCCTGGGGATCGACGGTTAATGGTGTCTGTGTGATTGTTTCCCCTCCTGAGAGAAGCAGGCGGAGGGAGGGGGGCACGGGCACGGCGACAGCGCCGAAAGCTCCGGCAACGGCGCCCGCGCCTGCGAGCCAACGAGGCGCAGACCACGACAGGCAGCATTCAAACAATAAGGTCTGCGCCGAAGCGGAAGTACATGCAGTCAACCCGTATCGTGAGGACGCGCGGCAAGGATTGCAAGGGCCTTGGAGGCCCATGCCAACGTTTGTCGAGCGAGGTTGGCCAGCGAAGGTCGCTGGGGATGTGCCGAAGGGGCCAGGCTATGCGGGTTGACTGTGCAACGCCGCATTTGGCTATCCTGCATGAAACAACGGGCAAACACGAGCGACAGTATTCGGTACCGCGCACACATGCGATAACACCGCGAGCGCAGTCGTGGACACGAGCCGAGGTTGGTAAACAGTTGCATTGATAGCCAATCCACCAAACTCGGTTCGCGATATGACAAATCAAACCCTGGAAGGCACTCAAGGACTCTCACTGAGGGTAAGGGGAAAGGGGGTGCACGATTTCCCAGGGGCCGTAGGCGACCCGAGGAGGAGGAAGAGGAGGAGGAGGAGAAGGAGGAAGAGAAGGAGGAGAAGGAGGAGGAGGAGGAGATGGAGGAGGAGGAGGAGGATTTTTTCATCATCGGTCCCTGATGGCATGACCTCTGAAACCGTAAACAAACAAGCGATGGTGGACAGTGGAAGGCGAAACCCATTGAAAAGCAGCCAAGGCGATCGATGCCACTGCCTAGCGGCGGGTCAAAGACGGCAGTGGCTGACATGAAACAATGAGCAGGGCCGACCACAACCACAAGCAAAAACGGCGGGCAGCCATGCGAGACTTCTATAAAGAGTAAGAGCTCACAAAAGCTGCCCTGAATCAATCAGAGTCGGGAGACTCGGCACCAGGCGGGGGCACGAGGGGCGCCTCGTCCTCTACTCGGGCGAGGCGCGCAGCCGTCGCGCGCAAGAGAGACTCTTCGCTCCCACCCGCCCCACTCGGCCCCAAGCGCCCCCTATCATATTCATCGAAGAGGAAGCGCGACGCCTCCTCGTCGGCTTGAAACTCGCCGAAAAAATCCGCCCTCACGCACCTGAGCGTCGGTGGGCGGCTGAATCGGAGGCGACGGACGTTCACCAGGCACAGAGGACACGCCTGGCACCGCTCCGCCCGCTGCCATCTCCTTAGCACGTATCCTCGCCTGCAGCGCGAGCATGCCTAGTGTGGAAATGAGGCCAGCAGCGCTAAGGCCAGAGGCTCCGACCTCTGGCGGTGGCGGCTGGCTCGCAGTAAAACACAAGAACGCACTGCTTCGACGGGTGCTGGTCGAGAGATGCGACGGGTCGCGGCAGTGTGGGTAGAGTCCATCATAAATGCGTCTGAGCGTGGTCGGTGCTCCTCGCAGCCAGCGTTGACCACACTCCTGTCCGAGCTTGTGGCAGCGGCTGGAGGTGCACGCTCCGCACGCAGTGCAAAAGAAGAGCGTCTTCTCAACCTCGCCCTTGTGCACGCGGCAGTGAGCGAGAGTGTGCCCTAAGGACGTGCCCAACGTTTTACGCCACGTGCTACTCAGACCCTTACATCCGAGCATGGGTCTGGAAGATGGGCCCGTCCAGAGAGCAAGGCAATGCAAGCAACGGGACCTTCCTTGCTCGAGGTCCTGCCACGCATGCCAACCTCCCGATTTAAAAAACTTGGCCCTGAGCCCCACGCTCGGCCGATCGAATTTCCCCTGTGGGAAGACAGCTAGAACCTTCCCGCAAACAGGTACAATAAATCTAATCAATCTTCACGTCCTGTCCACCTCTTGGAGTTCGTTAGCAGAGGGTTGAGGGTGGGAGAGGAAAGCTAGCTTGGCCTGGGCATCAGCATGCCAGCTTCCCAAACCAATGCGACGATCGTCATCGGGTAGAGCATCTATCGCGTCACGCTGCCTATGCGCAGGTGTGCGATGCACTGCCGATACGTGCCCAGCCACTTCATGAAGCAGTGATCCTCGACGGAGGCCAGCGTAGCGATGCTTTCTTGGAACTTGGTGACCAGGGTCGGCACGGCACAACTTCACGACGGTCACGCTGTCCCCGTACCTGCTCCCTCCGAACTGCTGAAACATTCGGGCAAGGCCATGGCCTGCTGTTCGGCGGCCTGAGAAGTTTGAGGGCAGGTGTCAAAAACCGCACCTCGAGCAGCGGCAATGATTTCCTCGTTCCCCGCCCCCAGGAACATCCAGGAGTAAGAGGCCCGAGAAAGTTCAAGAATGCAATGTCTCATGGCCGAGCCGTCCACACACACACACACACACATCGAGCCCCCGCAAATCGACCGAGTCCCAAGGCACGGCGTGCCCAACGGCATCATACAGTTGTGGGTTGGGTTCGGTGGTGGGGGCGGGGTAAAGCTTCGGGGTGGTCCCATTTCATTTCATCAATGAACAATCGATCCTCGCTGTCGAGAGCCTCGGCGTGCCACTCGACTGGCATGCCGTCCATGGCCTCAGCTCTCGCCTCGGCCGCAGCAGGATGCATGCATTGCCATAGCCGATGGCGAAATCCGCCGGGCTGCCCGCAGAGGGGGCACAATCCGTTAGACTGGTATCCGCAAGAGCGCGCCCTGGCGCGCGTCCACACGCCTCTACAAAAACAGGTGAGCACCAGATATTTCTCCCTGCGGCTGAGACCTTTGCCCTGAGGTCCAAGCATTTTCTTGAAAGGATCCACGCGCACACACGAACACCATCGAACCCAGGAGTGATTCCAGCCAAGGCCTGCTCATGGGCCCTCCGGGTAGCCAGGCCGCGTAAATTGGACAACATGGAGGGGGAGGTGAAGCCCATATGTATTTCTTTCCCCCTATCATCACGAAAAGTAAGAGCGGTCGTCGAAACCCGCCCAAGCCTGTGGAGGCCGAGGTGCATTCGCTGGACCGGCCCCCTGGAAGATCGCCAGGTGACGCTGTCATCAAGCGGGATAGTGCGCCAGATCGCACACAGGTCCTTGGCCGTGCACAGAGAAACTTGGGGGGTCGCAGGGGCCGTCCAAACAACCCCCGCCCAGTGGAGAACAGGAGCCACCGCCGCCCGCCACATGGGATCACCAAGGATGGCGAGCTTCGCATGTAGCGAGCACCCTTGGTGACGAGGAGGCTTGCACGACAGGAGGACACGACGGGCTTGGAGGAGCGCATTATCATTCATCCCCGCCGCCCCAGATCCAAAACTGGTGGCTGGCAAAACCCCAGCAACGCATATTTTCCCGATCCGTCCTTTCTGGCGAGGGAGAGCTCGGCGGTAGCGCTGCAGGACACGGCGCCGACGGCGCATATCTCGAAAGCGGGCCCTGCGCTTCCACAGAGCTCGCGCTGCCGATCGCCTCTGAGCAGGTGCAAAGTTGGTGCCGGGAGAGACCACGCTGTTGGACACGTGTCCTGACATGATGCCAAGGCGTCGCGAGAGGCTCTTGGCTAGCACTAAAGAGCTGCCGAACGTACAAACCTTATCAGGATGGACTGCCACATTGAGCTCATCTCTGAAAATGATGAACAATGCTGCTGCTGCACGGGTAAAGTTCTTGAT